GAGAATCTAGACACGAATTCGTATCCCAGACGCACCATGACAAAAGTAATATAGTCCTTTCCACGTTCTAGTCTCTACCAAAGGATCATGGAGACTAGAGTAAGGATGTGCCACACTATATACTTATGCCTTTGCCCCTTGGGCCCATTCAGACTCGCCAAGCCTAGCATAGAAACATAGGCTCAGAAAGATTCACGGAACCACAAGAAGCCACGACAAGAAGATGAAGCTTGGATTGTTCAGTGGTAGAAACTTGTAAAGAGACTCAAATGCATTTCGGTACGATTGTATAAAACAAAAGGTTTTATCGCGCGTGAACGAACTGAGATACAATTGTACTCATCGCTTGGTCACAAGGGTTCTGGTTCAAAACAGGTAGCGAAAGATAATTCAAAGGGTTTTGGCTCAACTCTGACGAAATCGGGCAGCATGGAGGCTTGCTCCCATAAAAGAACTGACCCAATAATCGGAGAGCGCGGCTCTCCGGGGGGCGCCGGGGACTACTGTAGCACAGGCAAGGGGCGCGGGATAGGAAACTCCCTTCGAACCTCTGCAATAAGCAGAAAGGTTTCGACACCGACGACGAAAATCCCGACAGCCAAAATCCTGATGTCCAGGGTGGCGGTTTAAAAGGAAGTGAAGTCGATTAGCTTCAACAATATGTCGGAATTTTGGCTATCGGGATATTAACCTGTCAAGATTTGAACTGTCGGCATTATGGCTGGTATCCCGAAATTTAGCAAGCTGCAAAGAGCCCTCAAATCTACGACAATCCCAAAATCCCGGGACACCGCCGGGCCGCTGAGTTCGGATGTGGAGAGCGTCGCTCCGAAGGTGAGATCAGGTTTTCGCAGTATTAGAGGGATTTGAAAGTCTATATTGGTCTATTTGCTAGCTATACAGAAAATTTAGCACTCCACCATCAAAGAAGCTAAGGTGCCAAAGGCTACAAAGGAGCGGCATAACAAGCCAAGTCGCGTCGACTCTGTCATTTCGCGGGATGCCGCTACGAGTACCAAAGCGAAGCCAGTGAAGTCGGCAATTTTGATGAAGCCGATGAAGCCTCTGAAGCCAGCTAAAGGTGGACAGGTATGTGCGAGTGAGAGAGGGGAGAGAGAGAAAAAGAGAAAGAGAGAGAGAGAGAGTAATTTTTACATTCCAGCGTAACGCCTCGACGAGCACAAGCTGTTCGAAGATTGAAAAATACGAGATTGTGGGTTTAATTGAATCCTTTAGCGAATAATTAAATTACAGGAGGACATCTACGTCGACATGTCGATCGGTGGCCCGCGGAAGCAGAAAAAGACGCGTCCGCATCCCAGCCCGCCACCTCCGCCCGGTCCTATGAAGGTCACTTTTCTCTTCACTTTCCTTAGAAGAAAACTTACATTCCTAGGAAAAATTCCTAGCGTTTTTTAGTGTGGTTTAAAGTATTTTCGGTGGTTTTTGATTATTAAAAAGTGCGTTAAATTTTAGTCATTTAAAAGGAGTGATTTTTTACTATTTGCCTAATTTTTCGCAAAGTTTTAGCAATTTTATAGCGCAACCAAAAACGGCTTAAAAGCTATTCAATAAATATTTAGATAGCGTATTTTAATAAACCGAAAAAATTACGAGAACGATCCATCTGAATTCCAGTGTCACGCCGCCACGAGCACCGAGCACGCGATCCTCTGGGGCTCCGAGCTGGGCACCAATTCGGTGCGAATCTCCAGCGAGATTTTTTTATACAGCAATTTTTAGTGTCGCGACTAGGACGACAAAGAAGCCATCGGAATATTTACCAACTGACGCTTGCTCTACAATTCCCACACGCACAAAGAAATATTTGAAGAAACGATTCGATTTCTTGGATAGTTGTTGTAGACTGAAGTTGAATAAATTTTTGGAAGCGCAATTTGCATTTTTTTGGATTGACTTTATACAAAGTCCGAGCTTCCTTTTCTCATTTACCCTCAAAATGAAGCGCCTCCTGTGGCTGCTCTTCTTCATCCCCTGCCACATCGTGGTCAGCCAGGGCGGACAGGCCGGGAATACGGTAATTTTCGCTTAACATCAAAGCTTGGACATTTTTGCGGTAGTGGACTGTCGGGGGCGACGACGAAATTTCTCGCCGGTAATTTTGCGCGAAGCGGTAACGAAATCCATGTGATTTTTATAGCATTTTACAATGTTTTTAACTGATACCTGACCTGACCCTGTTTTAGGCAAAGTGTATGTGAAGAATGCCCAAATAAGGCCGCAATTAAGCTAAATAACGTATATCAAAATGTTCGTCGTCGTCTGGCGAATATTTTGGTTGACTGTACAGGTCCGTAGGATAGTGGTAAGCCGGGATACAGTAGCTGAGAAACGGCTGGGGGGGGGGGGAATCTGCAGTTTAGCCAAGTTTACCCTGACCCTCACCCCAACTAGGCTCTGCCAACATGTTTTTAGCCCTCAAACGAACCCGTCGCGAAGACGAACACCTCGTCGGCTCCAGTCTCGGATTCGACGGCCGCGAGCAGCTCAAACGACGAGCCGCCTGAAGGGGACGGCTCCGAGCTGGACGGCCGTGTGCAGCAGCTTGACGCCCGCTTCTGGCAGCTCGAAAAAGTACAAAATTTCGATCCTTTCCAAATTTTTCTGATTCTAGCGCCTCAACAAGTCGGTGCACGCCTCGGCAATCTTGGAGGAGCTCAAGCAGGATACGGTAACTGGCTTCGAAATACACTAAATAACTTCAGACAAACCAGACGTTGTTTAAACAAGTTGAAAATTTTGGACATTTTGCGTCGAAAAAATAAATTTTACATCCTAAATGGTCTTCCTAAAAAAATTGAAAGGGGTTAGAGTGCAGTTTACCCCCCCAGCCCAGCTCCTCAGCCAAACGTCTTCTTAATGCATTGAAGCCCGCTTTTCAGTTGTTCTTGATCGTCTCGATCGGCGTGTTCGGCGCGGCCATCTTATGCCTGTGCTTGACGACTTGTGTGCTTGGCTGTCAGGTGATGTAGGGGAAATTCGGGTTACTGTGGAAGATGCTCAATTTAGCAAACTGCAAAAAAGCGATCAAGCCGACGGTGGCGAAAGAGCCGAGCGTGAGCCCAAGCCCGAAAGTGCCGCCGGTCGTGAATGATGTGGAGAGCGTCGCTTCGAAGGTATCAAAATTGAAGTTTTTTATCCTTGTTAGAAAACGCCAAAATCGAGCCCGTATTACCACTAGGTTGACAGCTAGATTTGGGACCATGACAGTTGAGCAACGACGTTTGAGCAACTTTTGAAAAGAGTGCGGAGAGAGGCGAGAGTCCAGACAGTCTGCCCGTCTGGGCTCTCTCCTCCCTCCGCACTCTTTTTCAAAAGTTGCTCAAACGTCGTTGCTCAACTGTCATGGTCCCCTAGATTTCATTTACTGAACCCTTTAATCGCTTTTTGTGGGCGACGCGTATCTGTCGAGATCTAGTCAAAATTAGGGGTCGACTTTAATGCTATACAGTCGTCCTTCGAAAGGCCAAAACACCGACAAACCAAAATGCTGTCAGCCAAAATACCGACATTTATATATTGAATTGCAGGCAAAAAGTAGTAATTAGAGCGTTTTTGTATCGGTTTTTTGGCACTTCGAATTTGCGCTTGTCGGCATTTTTCCGCCTGAATTTTGGACTGTCGACATTTTAGATTCCATTCCCTTTCAGCGCGATACCACGACAAGCACCGCCGATGGTTACAGACTTTCGAAGCAGGAGACCCTCGAGAAAGAGGTATTTTTATCCTCAAACCCTATTTTTTTCAATTTTCCAGAGCAACGACGGCCACTACGAGGATTGTTCCTTCAGCAAACCGGTCACGCCAAAGGTAGAGAAAATGAAATTTTTGATAGATCTAACGCCTTCTTCAGCACACCGAAGCCTAGAAGATACTCGTTCACCCCCGGGCGGCAATTGGGAAATATTCGACCAAAAATCTGAACACGATTCCAAATTCCGAACTATCGCTTGTAAACGGCGTGGTTATCGGATCTGAATAAATATTTTTGCATGGGATATCTTATCTTTTGCTTGTTATCATCGGACACCGTCTTTACACGATTTGACTGCAAATAATTTGCATAAAGCCCGAATTTTGTTGTCGCGGTTTGGCAGAAACTCCAGTTATGGCTTCAAAATGCTGCGCATCGTCTGGCTGCTGCTGTTCATCGGCGTCGCCACGCTCGCCGAGGTCGCTGTCGAGGCTCGCGTCACCGACTTTGAGAATAAGACAAAGGTACGGTATTTGTGCTAGTATAACGTTTAGGAATTATCTATCTATCTAAAGCTATGCAAAAAAAAGCTTAAAAATTGAAAATTTTGGTGAAAAAGCCGGTTTTTTAACAAAAATTTGTGAAATTTGCGCTTAGGAATAGTAAAAAAGGGCTTAGAAACGCGCCTTATATTCGTATTCAGGAAATGGGATACTAAGAAAAATTGGTTTTCTTTTCTGATACCCCTCCCTCCCGCCCCCCCGATAACGCGAAAGAGCCGAAAATATGTAAAATGGTTCGCTTTCGACTGCATCGCCTGAAGCCCCTCCGCTTTTCAGCTCTTCTCAAACGATGAGTTCACGAAGCTGAAGATTGGCATGGGACAGCTGGGGGAGACTACGGTAGGCGGGGCACGTTTCAGAGATTTGATAATGCCACCCTTTAGCAAAGCGTCTTCATCGGCGTGTGCGTGCTGGGCGGCGTCGCCGTGTTCTTCTTGTGCTGGCTCATCTTCCTCTGTCTGGCTGTTATGTAGGTTTTGTGACGCGGTTTGGGTACTGGACTGTCAGCGGGGGGAGGTCAGGGAATAAGTTATTTTTTATTTTTCTGCTTATTAGCGACCTGTTAATGATAGATATTCACTTTTTAACAATCCTTTATAGCTTTAGGGTGTCCTAAATGGTCTGTGCTTCCCCCCCTTCCTCATAACTTTTTTCAGGGGTATGAACAAGTCGATCACGCTGCTGCAAAGCCAAATTAACGACGTGGGCGGCGGGGGTGGCGGGGGCGGGACGACGATGGCTGCGAGTGTGATGATCCCTGGGGTATGTTGCCCATTAAGTCCTAGAGTGAATTCATTTTGTTAAGGCCAGCCCAACAAAGTCAAAATCGTCCGACTCGCCGGGCGGCCGCGACCAGACGGAGCGCCCGAAGCTCGACCTGAAGGTGTGAACAAGTCAAAATTATTCGCGCTTGATAAAGCTAATTCTTCGTCACACCAATTTAAAGGGATCGGCAAGCCATAGTTCAGGGTTTTTTGTGGTGTGAATTGGGAATCCAGAGCAGTAAAATCTATTCCTATGCCTTGCTCGCCCCTTTAAAGGAAGCAAAAATCAAAAAGGGTTCTTTTAGAAACCCGTCGAGCCGGCCTTTTCGCAGACGGACGGAGCCCCGGTCTCCCAACATTTGGGCCCGAAATAGAGCCGAGCCGGCCCCAGCTACTCGTCCCTACCGTACGCCAACAATTTCGATAGTTCCTATTCACAAGATGTTTCCCCGCGCTTTCCCATTGTTCCCATTTTCCTTTCCGGTGTTGTGTAATGGAATAAAGATTTTGTAAAAACCGTATCTTCTTGATTATTGCTTGGTTTCCGCAATAAAAAAGAAAGCCTGTAATGGGATACGGACGTCAAAACGAGAAAATCATGGTATGCTGGCCTGGACGACCATAATTCCCAAAAAGCAAAAGGTTCTTCCGTTGCGGGGAATCGAACCCCGGCCTTATGGGTGAGAGCCATAAATCCTAACCACTAGAGGATGTGGTGAGCGGAGAGGGCTAACCGGTAGGGGCCGACGTGTCAACCACGGCCGCTACGACCGCCAAGGCGCCGTTCAAATGCAGTCTGTTTCCATTACGTATCAGTGATTCTGCCTTGGCAACATCAGGCTCGTTTCGGAAATCACCAATCCGAGAAGCTGAATGAGTCCATATTGTCATGCGCCGAAATTAGCCCGAACAGCCCCCATTGAATCCCACCAGGGAAAACACAGGGGCGGGTGCTCGTATTAACGACAACATTTTGAAAATTATAATTGCAAAAGGTCCAATCAACAATGTCAAAAATACAGTGTGGTCTTCAATAGCTCCCTACCAGTTTTTGCTTCCATAAGATCTCTTTACGCCGGGAAAGCCTTTCAAATATTACAGAAATTGCCACTAAAGTCTTTTCTAATTTTTTTTACTTCTTTTTCGGCTTCAATATACTTACAGTTTACTAAGGCGCTATTAAAATGACTTACTAAAGGCTTAATTATTAGGCACTTCCTGTCTCAGGTCTGCCCCTTCCCCCCTAATTTTAAAGAACTTTTTCGCGGTCGAAACCGTAATTTCACTAATCAAGGCGCAGTCGACCAAACTAACAAATTGTTCTGCTAGCGCTAGCATGACATGATATCCGAGCCCGCGATTCTAATTAGCTTAGCGCTTGTTAGGCGCCGGTACAATGCGCGGATCCGTGGGATTTTCCGCCCCCCGAGGAACGTCAGCATTAGAAAAATGCCTGGCACTCCTAGATCGTGTTTCACAGGAAGTAGTCGAGCACAAACTTTAGACACCAGTCGGTCGGGAAATCAAAAAAAAAGAATATTTCGCGGACTGGGCTGTCGCGATTTTGGCTGCCGTGATTTTGGTCCGACTGGATTTTGGCTATCGGACTTTTATCTGTCGGGAGTTTGGCTTTGGCTTGTCGGTTTTTCGGCTGCAGAGATTTTGGCTTTAGGTATTTTTCTGTTGGAATTTTGGTTTGTCCGGTTTTTCGCTATCGGAATTTTGGCTACGGGGAGTTTGGCTTGTCGGGATTTTTGCCTCGCTGGATTTTGGCTGGCGCAATTTTAGCTGTCGGAATATTGGCGTGTCGGGATTCTGGCTGTCTTGATTTTAGCTTGATGGGGGCTCTCGGGATTGATTCGCCTAAACAGCTGGGGCTCACAAACTGGTAGCTGTTCAGCAACACTTTGCCCTCCACTTATTTTCATCATTTTTTCAAAAATTCGGTAGACCGGCAGGTGGGGCTGCACCACAAACAGGTGCTGTATTTTATTTCCTGGAAAGCGCTACAATCTTGCTTTTGGAATCCCGGTGAACGCCGAGCGAATTTAGTTTTGCTTTTGGTCTATCCTTCACGATTTCTCAAGACTTTTTGGCTGTTTTTATGTTGTTTATTACAGAAAATATGGAAAACTACACCTCCAAGTATGTATTTCTGCCCTCACCGGAAGTAGAATGGGTCCTGGCGCGGATTTATACCGTAACCTGGACCACCGGATCAGCGTTATTCGGGATAGCTGTGTATTTTCTGCTCCGGATACCGTCTCCAGCTACAAAGAGTTATAAACGAATCCAGCTGAACCTACTGGTAAGTATACTTAATTTGGGTTCTTTGGCATTATCGGGGGGTGGAGTGGGCTATCAAGAGAGAAAACCAACTTTTTTCCTTACTTGAGAGCCTTTTCTAAGCAAAATAAATAGAGTTTTACTACCTCTTCATGCTATTAATCAACCCAAAAACCTTACAAATTTTGCTAAAAATATGCAAAATAGCGATTTTCAAGAAAAAAAAATTAGCGATTTTGTCGGATAAAAGTTCCGAAATTTTGCCATTTTTTAGTGTTTAGATAGTTTTCTACTTGAAATACGGCGATTCTAAATTATCCGGTGCCCCCCCCGCTAAGGCGAAAGCACCTTAAATTAATTTTATCAAGTTTGTGGCGCAGCTTTCAGTTCGGGCTTTTATCAAAACTATATTTTGTATTAAGAGCAAAATTCGAGCATTCAGATCGCATCCGAACTTGCCGATACGATAATTTCCATCTACAAACCGATCCTCTACGCCCCAATCTACTGCGTGAAAATGTTGAGCGATCATCGATTCACGAAAGAGCAGTCATTTTTGGGGATTGTAAGCTGTGGATCCCGATACTTCAACTCAATTTCTAGAATCTTTACTATTTTATGGTTTTTTACATCGCGACCGTGATTTACTACACGGGTATTACCAAGTATCAAACCACCCATCTGAAGGAGCGGGTTTTTGAGCGCCGGATGAAGCTCGGCCTCGTCGCCGTTTTTGTCTGCTTGGCGACTTGTTCAAGTGTTTGGCTCTGGTCCCAGTATTTCTATGGGGAAGCGACTATTGACCCGATTGAGGTGAGTCTGGAAGACTATGGCTGCCGGAATTCAAGGGGCTCCGAAATGTGGTCCAGGACCCCTGCGTTCATTACTGACCGCAGCGCGACCGCGCCGATGACCTTGGCCCCTTTTTGAACGTAAAAACGCTTGCATTTAAAAATTCTAAAGTTACTTGTGTAATCCTCATCAAATTTTGATCATTTTAGACTGTTTAATTCCGAAAATTGATCAGAGAATCACCGAAATCGAGAGATTGGGTGCCTTATCAGACATTACGACATGTATTCGCCGCGCACCCGAAAAGTCGTTTTCGAGCCGAGAACTATTCGGTTTTACTGAAATATTTTACGTTTTTTCGCAACGAAACTAATTTGCCGGTATTTTGGGGCAGCAGCCCTTGCCTTTTTGATCGGCAGGATCAACCCCCGCACGCACGAATTGTGACTTCCGAGCCTCTTTAAGCAACATAAGTTTAGCTCAGAGAACACTGTGCGGTGGCAATTTAATACGCCGACCACATTGTAAAGCCTTGTTTTTGACTTAACAGTAAAGTAGAGCCGTGGCTGGTGATCGGCTACGTCAGGCCCTGGGGAATTGCAGGCTCTCGTCGTACTTAAACTGTCAAGGTGTTTTTACCAGGAAAAGATCACACCAAATAGCAAAGTATCTGATATCTGAAATGCCCTTGCCAACAAAAACGGTTTTTAAGAAGCGAGGACTTTGAGGCGATTTTTATCCAAGAAATTGATAAAATTCAGGTAGCTTTCAGGTAAAAAATCTTCAAAAATATGAAAATAGAAATGGAAAAATGTAAAGATCCAAAAATGTCGATTTTTCCGATCGGAAAGTTTGGTCTGTACGAGCGTAATGCCGGATTTTTGAAAGGTTTAGAGGTTTTTAGAGGTTTTTCCGCTTAAATATGATATATTATTTAATCTTACTAAATACACATTAAAATTGTGATTATTACCTTACTAATCATTTCTGTACATTTACAACAAAAATCGGCCACCCCCCGATCAAGCGAAAGAACCAAAATTTTCAGGTCTGCCGCCGCCAACCCCTATTTTGCGGCAGGGATAATGTCCTGCTCGTCGATATGCTCCCACTTGTTCGCAACATTTTCCGCGCCGTTTTGGTCCTATTGACGATCACCACCTGTCAATACTTCTACATCGTAGCGTCGACCATCCACAACAACTTGGTGAAGTTCGGCTCCCAGCCCCGGGAGAGCCGAAAAACGCTAGCGTTGCGGCGCTATTTTGCTACTGTTTTCTTATTGCAGGTAGATATCACATTTATTAAAAAATATTATTTTTTAGGCACTTTGCCAACTTATCTACATCGCATTTCCTTACGTCATCTATTTTTTGCTGGTTTTTCAACGGGTTGACCTGAGATTTTCTGGGTTTTATTGGGGTGAGTCAGGCCTTTTAGCTTTTTAGATCCCCTTGGAATGTTAATTTTCTGGATCTTTTTCATTAGCGGGGAGATTTTTCGTATAATAAAAGCCCGATAACGTAAGAGAAAATCTTCAAAAGTTTCTTCGTAAGACGTAACAATTTTTAAGGTATCTAAAAACATCAAAAAATACTGCCATTTTTGGTCCGAAAATCTATATTTTTGCATATTTAATAAAAACCTGTAAAGTTTACACATTTACGAATAACAAAAATAGTTAAGAAACATGTTCTTGATTTATTGCGGAAACATTGTATTCTAAGTAAAAAGTTGCCCCACCGATAAGGCGAAAGTACCTAATTTTTCTACTTTTAGTAGCCGGCACCCACCCTATTTACATCAACATCCACTCCATCTGCAACAGCTCAATTCTATTACTTGCGACAAAATCGTACCGGTTGAGAATTGCACAAATGTGTTCTTGTAAAAGTAAGACTGTCCATTTTTTATCTAATTTTTTTAGAAAAAGAAAGCTACACAATCGGTAGCTACAATCGAAAGACGGTCTGCAGTCTGACGCCCAGCATTTCTGTCATTCCACCGGAAATGGAAAGGGTCGAAAATTGATAAAAATATTTATTTTCTTTATATTTTTGATTGATTTCTGTAATTTTTTACGCGTTTCCCCGCTCTCGGCTTTTTTTTTGCTACGGGTATTTTCTGTTTGTACGCGGATGGGAGCCTGACGGCTAGAGAAAAACACCTCGTATCTTTAATTTTTTTGATCTTCTACCAGGTCGCGAGGATTTATCATAGTTCCTAAAAAATCACAAAACATTGAAAATCTACGACATTAAATTCAGAGATTAAATAGAGGTAAAAGCGAGCGTCGTCGCAAGTGGAAAAGTAACACACGTTCAACCTACAAAATTTATTGTATTTTTGCGAATTATTTTCCGTTTTGGTGCGGTGTTTTATTGTCTAGCATCGACGTTCAATTCGGCGTAAACCACTCGACATGCAGCAACGGTCCATTGCCGCGATACGGCTTTTTGTTGATGTCGACAAACATCTGCAACTTGCGAGGTATCGGATTTTTTCAAACCCTACCCGAGTCGCTGCCTCTTCGGTCTTGAACTCCGCCGTACAATTGAGGTTGTGGAGGCTGATGCTGAACAAGGTTATCTTCAGGCATTCGTTGGTGCAATACCTTTCGTGAATCAATTCCGGATCGTTCATAAAGACATAGCGGATGATATCAGCTTTTGTCGCGTCTTTTGGCAACCCTCTGAGCACGAGCTTCTTATGCGGCGATTCGAAGTCTAAAAAATATTTTTAATCAGGATCCATAGGAATCTTGATCAACTACGAGTCACTAAGCCTACTTGAAACCGGCTCCAACAGGTGCTCAGCTCGCATGATGGTACCCATAGAGTTTTGGCGACATCGTTGCATGGCCTAAGACGGACATACCTGGAAAATAGAGTTTGAAGAAAAACCTCTAGGCAAGCTTCTTCAGAGAAAAATTCGACAATGACATGGTAGATACCAGATCCGGGCTTCTCCATAGGCCTGACTCCTTGGCTAAAATGGATTGGTCATTTTTTTCTCAGATTTTCCGAAAAACTCACATTCCACCCTTGATCATGGTGCTCGCTCCGAGCAAATTATGGTAGATTAACTCCGGTGTCCAGTCCCCTGAGAGTCCAGTTATATGCAGCTTTTTCTTGTTGGGCACCTAAATGGACACCGACTGTTAAAAAAGCGTATAGCCAAATCAGTCCTGCGTCAAATTTACCATTGCTTCTTCCGCAATTTTCATCCGCATCGTGTCGCCTGTCATCCCGAACGGGTACTTTTTCCTATCATACTCTTTGATGAACTAAAAAATTTGCATTAAAGGCGATTTAATTATATCTTGCCGCCTTGGCAGCGGTCTCCGATTCGAAAAGCAACTGGCGAGTGTCCGGACCAAGGTGGATGACCCTGGAAAAGTGAGCTTCCTCTTGATAGCTCATCGTCAATTTCAAATACCTTTTCAGACGATCCACATTGCCCCCTGACATCCTTTTCACCATATACAGGGTGGCGATTAATTACCTGCGCGTCGCTTTTTCCCCCAAAAATCAGGCTTTAAATTTTCTTGGAGAGAGTGGTTTTACTAGATTGGTGGTTGTTTAGTCGCATCCTATCCAAATTTTAACCGGGTTAAACAATTACGAAAAACTACGAGCTAAGAAACATAAATTCCGGCTTCACAACGCGGATCGTGATCGCATGGTCACACGTTTGAAGCCTACTGTAGCCATGGGCGGTAGCTAATCTTTTCTAAAACAGCTCAGATATGTTGCACGCTTCTTTTCAAACGTAGTAAGCGTTCGAAAACCGACCTAAGTCAAAAGATAAAAAAAGATACAGTATCGAGAACGACATCGGTCAAATGGCAATAAAAACCGCGCGTCCTTTCGATATTACGCGTGAATCTTTTGGTACGATATGAGAAAATATGTACAATCCTTACAACAACCATATGCCAAAAGTTCTTTGGTTCATAAGGCTTTATCAGGAAACTAGAATCCAAAAATGCTAGAAATTACTGACGATTTTTGAGGTGCGCCGCGGGCTGAAATGATGGCATCATTTTTGGCCCAGAACTTCCCCAAAATTCTTCAGAACCGGCCTCAATTTAACAATGCGTCCTATCAAACTAATAAGAAGAGGGTTACATCAACGAAATTGCACTTCCCCGAAAAATCTTTTGATTTTTGAGGTGTCTCATTCTGGCCGATTCGGCTCCAGGCGGAAATTGGTCGTAGAATTTTTGTTATTTGGTAGAGCTAGGGCTTAATAAAAATGCTTTTAATGGATTTGAGCATCTGGAGGGTAAGCGGAGGCATCGAACTAACAATAATTTGAGGGCACGACGTATCGAACTGAAAAAATATCGGGCCTTTTGATCGGTACATACCCGCGGCGCGCGCGCTTTTTTGCTCGACGACATTTTTCGGGCTGGAAAAAAGTTGAGGGCCACTGACCCAAATTTTTTCTGTACAATAAGTATTAGATAGCTTGTGCTATCATAAAATGCAGATGGATCAGAGATTGCTTAAAGGAAAATTCGGAGCGAGCGTTTTCTCTCGCGCAGGTAATTAATCGCCACCCTGTATTTCCACAAGTCCGCGTCATCCTCGTCAGGGATATTTGTCACGACGACGATCGTCTGATTGCCGGAATTCTAAAATCAGGATTTTCGGATTCTGATCGATATGAAAAACCCTGGCTGTATTTGGGCCGGATGAAGTTGATGTATAGGTATAGCTGTGAGCAGGGTTCGAAAACGCCGACGTGTATGAATAGCTTGGAGGAGTTGGAGCCTGAATTAAGTTAGCTTTGACTTTCGACTTTCCTAAGAGCCTTTGCCGTTTAAAGCAACTTGTAGCGTTTGTAACGATACGAACCATCCGGGATATCAAGAAAAATGGGGTTGCAAAAAAGCTTACGGAACCCATAACGTCGCCAGGGCGTAGCACGTGTTGTCGCTCAAATTGATTCGCCTGAAAGTACGATTGATTTTAGTAAAGGTGTGGATAAAGCTGTGCATTAGAAAAAAGTTAACAGGCGATGATGCCGCAATTTAGTCGATTTTTAGGCCTAAAACTGAATGACATGACGATTTTTGTTAGAGTCGTCTTCGAAACAACATTACCTGTTGCGCCATTGACAACGCCTGTTGCATGCTTTGTTGGAACCTCTGAAAACAAAACTTGGTTAATTTTAGGCTGTAATTCTCCGCTATTTTTTTTAAGAATTAAATTCCATCTATCACGCAGAGGCTTTGAGGACGTTTTTGTGGGACGCGAAGAATACTCACAGAGAAACCCTGAAGATCCGGGGGCCCAAACATTTCGGCCTGCTATTCAAGTCGCAGTGCCCTGTAAAGGTGTAAGACTTCTTGATGAGCTTTGTGGCGATTTTTTTGAGGGCGTAAGTAACGACTAGATCGTGTTGGCATGTGACGAAGGGAAAGCAAAGTAGCTATTATACACCTTATCAGCAAAGACTCCCGACCTCCAACAGCTGATCGATAATTTACGATCGCGCTTTTTTGCCGCCAACTGGTAGGCTGACCATTGACGATAAGCCCCTCCCAATTTACATGCTCTTAGTTCAGGACCCCACAATCCTTGAAAATTCCCTGGGCTTATCGCTGTCGGGCGCGGCAACAGCGGAGAGAAAATTCTTGAAAACGGTTTATCAACACTCCTTGGACTTTTGGCATGACACCAGTCACTCGCGGTTGTATCAATGCGTCAAGTAGGACAGTGATACACAATACATATTAAAAAATAATCTTTAACCGGGTATCACGTGGCAGCATGAGTTTGTACATCATCCAAATCTCATATTACAGGCGGGATATGGCAAAAAAGTACAAAACTCACACACAAATTCAGTAAGGAGGCAGGGGTCCCCTAGTAGGAAAACAAGAAAAATCAACATTCGTTATTATGCCAATCCAAAATCGTTATTATTGCGTCGCTGGCGTACACAAAAACATACAGCAAATCGCTTCAACGCGATCTGATTCCCCAAAATAAACTGCATTCGAACGGGGGCGGTGGTGTCGTTATGTTCATGATTTCGATGCCGGCGCCGTATGGATATGGCTGCCCGTCGAATTCACTTGCAAACTAAACAGCGGTTAGGCGCGGAAAAGTTTTGGCTTACTCTGGTTGCTGTGATGTGGTTTGCAAATTCGATATGATGTGTGTGGTCGTTTACATCATAATAGACACTAAAAACGTTTTTAAAACTAAAAACTATACGCCACCTTTCGACAATGCCATCAAACCAGAACTCGCGGATCATCCAGTTCCAGTGACTTTTTGGTTGCTCACCGGAGACGCCGCGCACCGTCACAATCTGAACATGTCGTTTCTAAGCGCTGGGCTTTCGGTTTAAAGGGCTGCCGACGGCATGTGTCGACAAATTGGCAAGTAGCAACAGGGCAGAGAGCGCGTCCTGGGGAGTGGCGCAGAGACATTTTCTTTTCAGCGCGTAACCGATTGACTATGCCGTGACTATCCCTTTAAAATCCACATAAGTTTACACCCTAAACATTAAAACCCTGCACCTATCATTATTCTCTTAATACGACTTCGCAATCGGGGTTAGCGGGCGTAGCCCGCTAACCCCTTTTGGTTTGAGGTACGACTCTTTTGGGGTCCTTTTCCGGATTTAAAAAAGAACCAAGCATCGGATCGCAAAACTGATTACACCACCGGAACCGGCGACACTTTTTGCATACCATAAGCTTTTAAAATTTGAAAAATAGTTAAATTTCGAATTTTAACAGCCGATTTAAATTGCGTTTCGAGGGGGGGGTCTGCGTTTGTTTGTATGTCTGTGCGTACGCAAAACCCTTGTAGTCGTCAAAAAGTGCCTTCCCATGGTCCGTTTGGGCTGAAATTTTCCACATATATCGACTTGATGTAAATGAAGGTGAGGAAGAAGCGTTTTTTTCAAAATAGGTTTTTAAAAAATTTATATTTAATTTTTAAGTTTAGAAGCTAAATTGTGACCAAAACAGGGGTTACTGATGTCCGTTCGGGCTGAAATTTTGCTCAAATATGCATTAGACCTTGCCGGAATAAGTAAAGAAAAAATTGCATCGAAAGAAGGCTTCTCCTTTGAGTTATTATAACGTTAAACCTTCGCCATACGGGGCGCCAACCTCCCCTTTCTCGGCCCCCAGTCCCCAGTCTGCAGGGCGGGTCTAGCTCCCCCAAGAAAGGCCGCCACTCTCCCTGTCGGCCTAGTGGTTCGTTTATTTATTCAAGCCTTCTGAAGAAGCATTTGGTCATATGTGAACAGTTGAAGCTGGCTAAATGTAACACAATCAAATCAATGTAGCGCCCACTACAAAGCGAAAAAATACGAGATCATTGGTTGTTGCTGTCGGTGCGATTGGAAGAGGAGTTGTCGTGGCTCGTTTCCTTTGATTGGTCACCACGTCGCTCGACCCGTCGGGCGCGCACGTGGCTCTTCACCCATTCGTGTTCTTTTACGCCTTCGAGGGTGAGCCGGTCGGTGGGCTTGAAGACGAGCAACTTTCGGATGAGGTCCCGCGCCCCCGTCGAGATGCTGGACGGGAATTTGTAGTCGACATTTCTAATCTTCTTATACGTGAGCTGGGTCTCGTCACTTTCGAATGGGGGCGAGCCGACGAGGAACTCGTAGCAGAGTACGCCCAGCGACCACAGGTCCACTTTGTCGGTATGTTTGTTGCCGATGATCATCTCCGGGGGCAGGTAGTCCATCGTGCCGCACATCGTCTGACGCCGCTTTCCGGGGGCGTGCACCGACCAGCCAAAGTCGGAAACCTTCAATTCTCCCTGGGCGCCGATGAGCAGATTCTCGGGCTTGATGTCCCGATGAATAACGTTTTTTGAGTGGCAGTAGATTAGTGCGTCGGCCATTTGGTGCATGTACACAGCTGCATCAGCCTCCTTGAATCGTCGCTGTGCCCGCAACGACTTGTACAGCTCGCCGCCCTCTGCGTACTCGAGCACCAGGTAGATTTTCGTCGCATCCCAAAAGTACGTGAATAGCCGGAGGACGTTCGGGTGCGTGAGGTGGGACTGGATCTCGATCTCGCGGCGGATCTGGTGCTCACAGCCGCCCTTTTCCAGCTGCGACTTGAATAGCACCTTTAAAGCGACGATCAGCCCATTTTCTCGTATTCTGGCCAGATAGACGCTGCCGAACTTGCCCTTGCCCAGTGGGCGACCAATGTCGAAGTCTTTGAGCTGGAAGGACCCGCCCCGTGCTGGCGTTGGGTTTGGCGTCGGGCGCCTTTGGGTCCCGAGGTAGACCAGTCCGTTGGGCAGGACGTCGCCAACTTGGCTTGCCATCACTGCTCTCAAACTTGGGTAATTAAACCAGACAGCACGCTGTACTGGGAAGACGCGCCTCCCGGGTTCGAACTGCACCCGCAACATGGCTTTTGACGATTGGGCCCCATACATCGTTATTTTTTTTGTGCCCTTACAAAGCGCCGCAGGCAAATTTTTTGTAGTATTGCGTAGGAGGGTTCGTCCGAATAAATACACCAAGGCTTGTTTTATATTTTAACAAGAAGATTGAGGCAAAAAGGGTTAAATTCTCTCTAAGGCTAAAAAGAGTCTTTTTAAAAAAAGGGCTTTTGGTTTTCGCAAAAAGAGACGAATTCTCGTGGCAACAAAAAGTGCTAAATTCCTTTCAAACTCTTAAAAATATCACAAAATGTGGGATCAACCAAAAGTTGCTGGCACCTTATTAAAAGCGGCAGCTCTAGTTTTTAGCCGGTTCGGTGACTAATAGTTCCTGTATTATGGTGCGTTTCCACCTTCTGAGAATTAATCTCCAGATTATCTCTGTCGCCCACCAGCTTTCGTCGTAAAAATCTACATATCTGGGGCAGTACCAGGCTTAACCCGATTTTAAATAGCCAGCAACTTTTTGTTGTTCCCCATTTTGTGATATTTTTAAGAGTTTGAAAGGAATTTAGCACTTTTTGTTGCCACGAGAATTCGTCTCTTTTTGCGAAAACCAATTGTTCTATGGGCGGGGTAGAGTCCGCACTGTTCCCTCTGCGTATCTGTCTGCCAGAAGGTGCCCCTATGCCCGGCGGGGAACCCTTATCTTAAAATAACTGGGTGCTACCCGCCCGGAAAGTTCTAATAGTTTTCTTCCGCCCACGCATTCCCGCTATCGGTGGCCACCTGTCAGAACCCCTTTCTGCCAGCGTTATCAGCGCAGTTTTCCGAAATTTTTCCTTGCAAGAACAGGCTTGTCCTATCTATTGCTAGGGATTTTACAATTTACAAAAAGACAGAGTTACAACCCAAACGCGTGAACACAAAGCCAATGGGAACCGATGAAAGATCAGATCTGTGCAGTAGGGGGCGCGTGAACGGGATCACTGGATCGAGTGACACGATCGGGCGATAATAGGCTCTAGTCTTCAAAGGGATTTTAAAATCTTCTACTATATATAAAAAAAATAGTGTTTGTGTGTGTGTGTGTACATCTGCATGCAACTTCCGACACCGTGTTCCAGTCGTATCTCAATGAGGGAGGAAGTTAGGGGTATGTTTGATGCGTAATGGGTAATGGTCTCGAGATGACTGCACACATATCCTACTATACAGGGTGTCCCAAAAAAAAGACCCCCCCCCCAAAAATTTGAGCCAGAGGGCCCCTACAGAGCTGAAAATTTGCACAGAGGTAGCGAAGCCAATTTCCCATGTATATGGAGAGTTTGAGCCATATCGGCTGACGGGTTTTAAAGTTATAGCGAAAATACTTTTCATTTTTAATTTAATATGGGGATTTTCGCAATTTGCATCAAAAATATGCGTTATTCTTGAATTTACGAGCCGATTTTGCATAAATTTTGCCAAAAAATTCCACGTTAAAATTAAGTTTTTGTTGGAAAATCCAGGACCCTCTTTGTTAGGAAACAATTAGCATACGCCGGATGTTGCGGTTGCTTATATAAAGCAAGAGAGGTGGCGTTTCTCATTTTTGTCATCGAAAATCGCTAGAATTATGCAAATTGAAGAATATCATGGGATCAGACGGGGCCAGGGTTGAAAAGTCGCGAAGCGGCTTTTCAACCCTGGTCAGATTTTGAAAAATAACATGTTTTCGCCATTCAAATTCGGCTTTTGTTGAAAAACCGGGCGCCCCTCTTAGATAGGGAAAAATTAGCATTCACCGGAAGTGGCGGCAGCCTATAAAAAGGGCAGAGGGAGTGATTTTCATTTTTTTTGTCATCGGAACTCGGGAGAATGATGCAAATGAAGTATATCAAGGGATTAGACGTGGCCAGTGTTAAAAAGTCGCAAAGCGGCTTTTTAACCCTGGTTACTTGACTAAATTTCTATAGTCAGACTTTGCTCGCCCCTTGAAAGCGACGCGCAACGCGTGAATATGGCTTATAGCTGCTCGGGATTTCCTTTGGCGGCTGCCCGTGACAGAAAACTGTATGCTCTCGCCATTGTCCCAACGGTCGACGGATTGCGGTGATTCAAGGGATGTTGCGCGGGGAGAAAGAAAAACATACGGGAGAAATTTAAGGAGCTACTGTTTCCTAGCTTCCCAAATCGGTCTATCCGGAATAACCCGGCATCATCCTTGTATCCACTGGCTCGATTTATTTGGAGATGTCTAGTTTATCAGATTGAAAAGCAAGGGTGGCTATGGTAGCTTGGACACGAAGACTGGGTTGGTGCGTGAAAACCCACATTCGACATTGTAGAAGGCGGAATTTGATGATTTGGATGGAATGGTTAGAGGTGAGAGACTTTGACGGACTCGATCCCGGTGGGTAATGTGGGGGAACGGCTTCACCAAACAAATATTCTACAAGACAACTCGGCCACCGCCTTGCCGAAAAGGGGGTCGGGTGTTGCTGATAACGCGTGCTCGGCGCTCGTCGGTGCAAGAACTTGTGTGGTAGATAGTGCGGTTACAAAATAATTGGAAACGGTTCGAGGCAGTGGTAGTGGGCAACAGTGAAAAATGAGGACGAGCCATGAAAAATTGTTTGCAAGAAAGGGTTTCTGATGAGCGGCAGTTAGGGGACCCGGAGAATCGCTACGTAGCTTCCGATCATTTTCTTAGAGGCCGATCAAAAGTGTTGTTTTGAGGTATCTTTTGGGTAGCGGCTAATTAGCGGGCTTCAGCATCAAAATGCTTTGCCAACAAAGCAATATGCTCTTCTGGTTTCCAGGTGTCAGGGGTTTCCAGGGCTCGCAGTTAGTTGTTCTTCTTCATCTTGAACATACCCAAAAATTGATCGGCTACCAGGGTAGATGGTCGACCTACCGCTCTTTATTGCCGTTTTGAACTTCAAAGCGAATTCGGAGACGCTTACGGTATCAACTGACGAAACGCGGTGTCATCGAGACTAGGCAGGTGATGCATATTCCCAGGAGGCTTGTCAACAGCTGATTTGCTAGCTTGCACGAGCCCTCTCCCACGCCGTTGTCTAATCGTTATCACTCTAAAAATATCCGGGCGTCTCTACCTCGGCAATAAACGGCCGTTGTTTTTGGTATCACGGCTGGCAAGAGACCCGTGACGTATTGTCAGCGTTCTGGAAGCTATTTACGCGCCTGCTCGTCGACACTCGTAATTATTGCAAAAATTTATCGTGGAGCAGCAAGAGGTCGATAAGGTCGAATAAAGATAGTTGTACTTGAGGGGTTGCCTATACAAAAATGGAATATGGTGTGGTTAGACGTCCTTCTGGAGCGAGTTGTAGGCCTGGAAGCTGGTCCACACGGCGTACGGGGCCATCAGAAGGCCGGCGGTCTTGTCGGCCTGAAAAAAGTGGCAATCACTTTTATAAATCGTCTTTAATTAATAAAGTTTCATAAAAAATCTAGTAAAGGAATTAACGTATATTAAAGTAGTCTTAAATCGAAAAATTCTATGCCTTGTAGAATCCGACGGCAGTGGCGATGGCGAGGATGGCGGCCAGGGTGGAGGTACCGGCAAGCTGAAAAAGAATGTATTATAGCGAACGATGGAGAAAGAGAGAGAAAGAGAGGGAGAGAGAGAGACAGGGAGAGAGAGTAAGGCAGAAAGAGCGATAGAGCAGAAATTAACTTACATGACACTTATTCTGGTTCTTGGTTGCATAGTTCTTGGCCAACAACAGCAAGAGGTTCAGACCATAAGCGTTCATCGCCAGCTTCTTGTTGCACGGGCAGTGGTCTAGAGCAAGTTATCGTCATTTTAAAAGTTTTTAAGATACCGGCAGCACGGTGGACAAGGAAAGAAGCGTAGCCTAGGGGAGAAATGGAGAGAAAATCGGTGAGGGCGGAGGCTTTTAGGGTCTTGGCGGCGCACTCTCGGCGGGGGAGAGTCTGAAAGCAGAGGATTTTAATAAGTTTGCATTTAAGCTGAAAGGTAAGTTAGAATTCGAAAAAACATACCTGATACCACCTCTGCGTCAGGTCATCTCCGGCAAAAATCGAGTAGCCGACGAAGCCGATGGCGGCCGGGGCAAGCGTGGCGATGTAAGCACATCCGGATTCCTTAAAATGAAGGTAAGCTTCAGGAAGTTAATTAACGTTTTTCAAACTAAGCTTCAGCTCCCAATATTTTCAAAAAATTTTTAACGCGCGTTTTTAATCTCTAACCTGGTTGTACAGTAAAAATGAACGAAAAATTATGTTAAGTTAGTTTTTAGCTTAAAACCAACATTTATATAATTTATTGAAAAATGTTATAATACTATTTTGATTACTTTTGAAAAACTCACGGGAACGGGCAGGTGGGCCATTGTAGATTTTTAGGTTGGTTCGGGGTTTGGGAGAGCTAAAAAGGGAAACTTTAGCGGAAGAATTGGCGGAGGAGAAAAGCAAAAAGTGATAAAAATCAATTTCAAGGCCAGGTGCAAGTAGTAGAGATGTCTAGTGGACAACATCCCCTCCCAACCTCTACGCTTTTAAAGGCCCTGTTTGCATCATTGGTCCTTCCAAGGGAGGTGAGAGGGGGCAGAAACTTGAGATTTCAACAGAGTCCCCTGCCCGGCCAGACGCACCCACCTGGCCATGACAGTGAGATAAACAACAGAGGTCAGCCCGAAGGTTGCATCACGGGGTTTTTGGAGGGAGATCAATGTTTTTTTGAATTTATGAACCGCTACAATAGCACTTAGCGCATGAGCTTTAGAATACCAAGTTAGGGTTTTCTATTGAAAAACTGTATTTGCAGTCTAGGAAATATTACTTGCGCCGTTAACGACGGGAAGTTGCATCATGAACTTTTGGGTGCGAAGGCAATAAATTTTTTAATGTTAGAACAGGCTGAAAAAGCTATCTGTCCAGTCTTTAAACCGAAAAATACAGCTTGAGTCGCGAGAACAACCATTATTTGGCCGCATTTTCAGACTGAAAGCTACCGCGGTCCCTTTAGAAGGTCTGTATCTGGTTTCGGCACCCATCTAATTTTCCATAAACGTATCTAACTCATTTCATCAAAAATCAACCTGTATCCCCTAGACCCGGTTATATTAAAGAGCCATTTAAGATTTTTAGGCTGTGGATCGAATCAAGCGCCAAGGTGTAATCAATTACGCTCTGGAAAGGAGGTCAAGCGTGTTGCGTTGCGTGTCGCGGGTCCAGAGATAGAAAAATGTATCGGCCTGCATTGCCAGTCCCTTAAGCGGATGATGGAACGCTAGATAAAAAGTTAAAGTCTAAGGATTAAGGAAATAGGCTTCTACCATAATTGTCCAAGTTAGGCTATGCAAAAACCGATGGCGAGTACGCGCTCCTGCGAGAGGCATACTAGCCACTTTCCGCAAAGACAACATCTTGTCTCCTATGACAGCCGACCTAATCCCTTGAAAACAAGCTTGATGCGGTAAAAATTTGGACCAATCAATCCAAATAAGCCCTCCTATATGCAAAATTCATAGGCGTTGTTTGAGCGTCTTGAGACTCACATTGTATGCCGCATTTGTGGGTGCGGCCAAACTGGGCGACAGGAGGACGGACCTTGTACCCCCTTCACACAGAGCCTCTCACACTCCGAGACACCGCCCAAGAAGCGAGGGCCCGAGACAGCGCGACACTCCCGCCAAAATCGATGTCGTTGCGGTCAGCCGGGTGGAATTTCTGCGGGCTTGAGAAAATAAACAACAGTGCACTCCCGAGCCATACGTGAAGCGTCAATAAGTTTACCTAACGAACTCGGCGGGTTTTGGGGAGTGATTGACTTTTATTTGTGAGCTGGCGGGGATCAGCTCATGTTCGAGTGATGAACAGCTTGCACTGTAAAGCGAACAGTTTTAATCCTTAGATCTTGACAATATTTTTAATACAGATAAATCATGATAAAGCAAAGATATAAAGCTTTGGACCAAAAGCAAAAAGTTCGGGCAGAGCAGGGCTCAGACTTCCATTTTGAATGATAGTGACAAAAATCAGGTCCTTTTCTAAGAAAAATAGAACATGATACAGGCAATCCTCCTACAAAGTTTCGGACCAAAAAGCAAAAGGTTTCGACCACGGAAGGATTCGGACCTTCGATCTTCCTGCTCCGTAGGCGAGACGCGTTATCCATTGCGCTATACGACTGCATGTCGGGTCGGCGTGGGAAGGGCACTGACCTGCCAGGGGGCCCATATTTGGACGACTTATGCTTTCTCGGTAGCCGCTTATCTCCCACTTTTTGGCGAGGACTGACAGTAAATCAGGAACAGATTTTGCAGCATATTATTTTTTGGCCTCGAGTATCTTATCGCGCTTATGGTAAT